TTGGGGTGGACCTTTCAAAATCTATTTATGTCTATTCCTTAAGTAACGTGGCCCCCGCAGCCCTCCTGGCGCCTTTCTGGGCCAAGGAGAAGCCTCCTCCCAACAGAAGGGCAGCTACCTGCTCCAGACAAAGCGGAGCGGAGTTAGGTAAATGGAGGTACACTTTCTGCATCCTGTCTACAACTCTGCGGGGACGTAAGAACTAATAAGCATTTTAAGCAAAATGCTTTGCCAAGAGTGGCTCCCTCAATAACGCTCTTTAATGATACCCCAGACGCTGGCATTTTCAAATCAAATGAACAGTGTATAAAATTAGTTCTGCATGAAGTTAAAAAAAAAAAAAAAGTAAGTGAAAGGGAGCTTTTAAAAGCGCCAGCATTTCTCCATCCAACTGCTTTTCACAAGGGTTTGGCATATGAGAATTGCTACATTTATGATGTTATTCGCTGCTCATAATTCAGGCCCTCTGTCTCCAAACTTCTGTATTAACACGCACTGCAGAGGTTTCCACCGCGACATTTTATCACCGAGGTTTCCCAAACCAGCCAGGCTGCCTCTGGCGAGGTCTGGTTTCTCAGCCAATGCTGTGCCACGAGGCTCCCTCCCTTTTCATCAACCTTGTTACCCCAAACATTTTTCATTAACCTTGAACACTATATTTCCATTTGCCCTACAGCTTTTCCATGATTTTTTTTTTTTGGTCTTTTTCAGTTTTGTTCTCCATCCAAACTGCCTTGTAAGAAATGAGGAAAATATATTATTAGACGAAACAGATCTATATAGACTCTAGAATTCACTGAAGTTGTGAAAATGATTCCTATAACCAAAGCCACTGTCTATAATTAAGGAAAGCAGAGTAAACATATTGCTCTTATTAGAGTCCCGTTGATTATACAAGTAGTTTTTACTAAATCACCAAGTAAATGCGTGTTAAGTTGATAGGTGATTTCGGGTCAACTCTAATTCCCAAGGTCAAGTAAGCCTTTGAACAGCCTTTAAGAATATAAGTTCACCCCAATTCATCAAAGCCGTCTCACACAGCGTTTTCTTCTCTTGGTTCTTACAATGCGCTAAAGTTTAGGAGATTAAGTGGCGTCGGCTTCAAAACCCAAAGTAATGCCCCTAACATGCTTATCCATCCAGGAATCAGAAAGGCCACTCAAACAGGGGCTTCCTTAATGCACTTCCTAATTTTACAAGTGCCCAGGGAATGCCATTTGTCAAATGGCTGGAGGACTCCTCCCTAGGAGTCACCAATGTTGCAGCCAAACAAATTTGACTGCTGTTTCACTCATATATTGTCTGATAATCTAAGTACATGTTGCTTTCATCTGCAAACAATATGTTTAATGTTTCTCATCTGTTCTTTGTTTACCTAATGACAGAACCAGAGGAAAAATACTTTCCTACAACAAATACAATGCATTTTGTTATTCTTACAATTTCTCAGAAGCCCAAGTGAGGAAAAAAACAGAAGTCTGGTAAAGTATAGCTTTCGGATTAAGTATAAATGGCCCCAAATGAAACTGACTGCATATGAAAGAAAATATAACTAGCCTTCATTTTTTCTCAGGACCATAGGAGCACAGCACACGGATCCTGGGACACACAGATGTCACAAACCCCATCTCTCCCCAGGGCAGGGACCCCAGGGACAACATTCCTGACATGGGGATTAATTGCGCAGACCACTGAGATCTCTTGCCCACTCCTTTGGCTCTACAAAGGGGAAGGATAATAACTCCTACAAATGAGTTATTAGTGGTCAGCAGATTTGGTTAAGGTACAGGGAAAAGAGTGAAAGGCCCAAATTAATTTTGTGCTTTAATTCTTTGTTGGCACAGATGATCATACTGAGATAGTAAATCTTTGTCTCCATATCCTGATCATAACTTCTCTGTGTTTCCAGTTTCTATTCTTATTTTTCTCCATTACTTTCCTTATTACTTTCCTTTTGTTTCCCTACCTATTTGAATTGTCTTATCTCCAACTCACTTTTCTCCCATTGCAAATCTTTCCTCATCGCCATGCCTGGGTTAGTAAGTTGATCTCAAGTACAGTGTGTCCCATGGATGAATTAGTTTTCCTTTGCAAAGTGTGTAGAAATGTGATGATTGATATCTTTGTATAGAAAATAATCGTAATTTTAAATTTAAGCAAGGAAAATATAAAAGGGCAAAATCTTCTGTAATCTGAGTTTATTTTTTTCCTCTCATTTTAATTTCCTTTCAAAATGGGATAGCAGGCAATGCATTTTTTTTTTTCTCATTTGGAAATTCAAATATTAAACCACAGGCTAATATAATAATATTGATGATAAGAATAATCAGTAACACTGAGCATTTTATATATAATGCAAAATATTCTAAGGGCTTGATATATGTTCACTCATTTAAATGCTCACAGCAATTCTATAAGATAGGTACTATTATCATCCTCACTTCACAAACAAGGAGAGACACCGAGACATTAAGTAACTGCTCAAGATGACACAACCAAATGTCAAGCCCAGATCTGAACCTGAATTCTGCTTCCAGAGTCCATACCCTCAACTACAAACTGCTTTAATCTGCTATCAAATCCTTCTTTAAATCTTGATAAAAATTTGAAATCAGGAAATGGGTAGCCTAATACAAATTTCGAAAGCTGAATAGCTACTTACTCTATATTTCCATCCAACTAAATCAACCAGCAGGTTTTTATGTGCAAGGTTTTACTTGCACTTTGTGTGTGGTTTGGAAACTTCTGTCCTTACAGAAACTCTCATGTTTGCCTCTGAGCTGCCTTAAGCCTGAGGGCCCCGAAACCCCTGGGCTGGCCACGGGCTATGGTTGGACACCTGGTGCTAGAGCCAAGGCTCTCGCTCTCAGAGCAGCTCTCAAGTTGGAGAAGGGATTCAGTTTTAGCCCGAGGAACCGGCTAAAACCCTCAGGGGTACCGCCAAACAGAACGGCCTCCCCATCTCACTTTGAACTAACTTGTATTTGGGTAGAAAAGAACTCATTTTTTAACTTAAAATTAGCAAAATGCTGGCCAGCAAATATGTCTGAAATAATCTTCTCCTGTACTAATCAGAACATAAATTTCTTTGAAAAATTTTAAATTTATTTTTGTTTTTAAATTTTCAATTACAGTTTACATTCAATATTATTTTGTTTTAATTTCAGGGGAAAAGCATAGTGGTCAGACAATCATATATTCCACATAGTGTTCCCCCTGATATTTCAGTACCCACCTGGCACCATACATAGTCATTACAGTGTTATTAACTGTTTTTCCTCTGCTGTATTCCACATCCCCATGACTATTCTCTAACTACCAATCTGTACTTCTCAATCCCTTCACCTTTTTCATCCAGTTCCCTAAACCCCCACCCCTCTGGCAACCATTGGTCTGCTCTCTGCATCTATAAGTATGTTTATGTCCTGTTTAGGACATAAATTTGTACAGTTTATCTCTGAAGGTGGAGCTTATCTCAACAAATTCAAAGACTAGAAATATGGTGATTCCGAGAATGGCTGTGGATACAGCTACCCATTTTGAATGCACATATTTCTGGTGTTCTTGGTTAGGTAGCACTCATGTAGGAGTTCCTTCTGGCAGAAGCTGAGGAACTCTGCTGTGATTGTTCAATGTTTCTAGAATACGCTGCCTACTGTGGACCCTTTAACTTGTTTTAAAATAATTGCATTTTAAAGTGACAGAGTTGGTAGTAGTGTTAGATTAGTTAGCAGTGTTTGAGGGAGACTTTCAACTCTTTGGGTCTCAGTGCTGTTGCTTAGTAACAAAGCCAGTCAGCTTTCTAGGCTGGGCTGAGACTACATAATAAAATCTCTCTAAGCATAACCAACGGACAAAGGCCTAGTATAAGTTGGGATTTTAAAGCATTTGGAGAAAAGAACTGGAACAATTAACAAAAATGACAAAGCACACTAAGGATTTGGGCCATTCTTCTATTTGCCCCCACATTTGCTACATTTGAGGCATACATACTTAGTTTCACTCTTTTGCTAGATATGTCCCTAATGAGCAGTTGCAAAAGTAGCACACACGTGTAAATTATTATAAGATGCCAGCATTTTCTCAGCAAGTGTCTGAAGTCGATCTTTTCTAAGGAAACAGTCCCTGTGCCTGGAGATGCCCCGAGGATGTGCCACAAGCACTGAACAAAGACCCCCAAGACTTGGGGTAACATCTGGGATGAGTAGCCTTGAGAAAGTGTGTAGTCTTTCTGAGACTCGATATTCTCCCCTTCACAGTAAAAATAAATATTTCTTAGATTTGTTATTGGGAAAACATCTTCAAAGGGCCCCATGTAAATGTGGCCCGATTTCCCTAACTCATGCTCATGTCTCTGGGCCAGCTCCATAGACCTGCAGTGGGACCTCTGGGACTGTTTCTCATCATGTGCTAAAGGTGGCATCTTAAGTGTGGAAAGATGCAGATTCCCACATTACACCCCCACACCGGCTCTTTCTTGCCCCCAGATAGCCAGAATACATAGATGTTGAGCACTGAAATTGCATACTTCAAATTCGAAAAAAACAATCTGGCACTTTCTTTCTACCTTACTGTTGCGGGAAACTTGGAACCCAGACAGAATTTTACTGTTAGACCCTGCACATTGCAGCATGCCACGTGCAAACATTACCAATTTTGGTCTATGGACTTTATGGGTAGGAGACCAGGATCTAAGTCGACTGTGAATATGATGGCTTTTTCTTTCTGCATAAGCACAAAATTCATTTTTAAACAGAGATATGAAAACATAATCTCAGATTTAGAAAACCACTGAAATCTTACAATGCATAGCTGTTAAAAGTACATGTGCATGTGTACCTGTATACCTACATACGTATACCTACATACATATACCTACCTACACACATGTGTACCTATGTACATACCTACATAGATAATATGGGGAGAGAGAGAAAAGATGATATCAAGTTACTGACTACACTGATATGTAGGAGACAAACTTGAAAGGTAATTCTTACTTTATCGCATCTCATCAGCCCCAAATATCTCAGGCTCTTGCTGCTCTGTGCAATGAGGGTGGCTCCTTGGTCTGTGATTTCTTTACACCATCCAACGTCCACCGTTTCTATTGTCATGCTGTATCGCCCAATGGCTATCAGTGCTGCAAGAAGGGGCAGGAGAAAGAAGGCAAGAATAAACATTAGTGTGTGGGACCTCTATCATATTATGACTATTTCTCTCACTCCCTCACTAAATTTACTCCTGAAATGCTGTGTGTAAGTGAACATTTATAAACAAAAGTAAATTTAAAATGTTTTAGGAAAGCTTGCCCTGTGACGAACCCTTTCACAGAGCGAAGGATCATTCCATAATTTCCCTCTCACTGGAACACAACTTTTTATCAGTTTCACTCATTTCACGGTTACCTGTACTTTCAAACACTCATATCTGCAGAAGGAATAAATTAAAACGAATTACACATAAAATGTTATAGAAAGCCCCACGTAGTAACTAAACTTTACTCAAGATAACTTTAATAATTTTTTTAAAAGAAAAACCCATATAAACACCATTGTGAGGTGTGCTCTACTGCATATGAATTTCTTTACCGATTGGCACAATTTTTCCCATCTGTTCATGATCTTAAAATGTAAGAACATATAATATTTTTCACATTAGTCCTTCCTGGGACTGTTAGGAATTAAGAGAACATTATACATACAGTTGAATTTAATTGGTGCCATGCTAGAGAGCAGTAAAGGGAATGTATTTGTTACGGTGAATTTCTTCATTATGTCAGAAGCCTTCCTTCTATTAACATATAAAATGAAACCTGTCATCAGAAAACTATGACAGTATCTCTAGTCTTCTTGACTGTTGAGCATTGTACCACTACTAACATGTAGACGCTGATCCCATAACCTCTGAGGCACCCCACTCATCACTGCTCCTAACCCGTCCCTGCCACAGCGCCCCATCAGTGAAGGTGGCTCTTTGCTGCGGGCTTCTGGCTGGACAGCCAGGCAGGCCTCTGCACTGGTGCAGCAGAAAAACAGATTTCAGGAACCCCATCCGGAGTATGTTTATGGCGCATTGTTATGTAAATGAAACCCTGAAAACAATGCCACAGATATTAAAAAGGAAGGAGAAACTGCCTGCCAATTCTCTCCTCACTCTACAACGGGATGGGCTGGCTGACTAGATTGATAAGAGCAGAGCGAATTACTCACGGAAAATGTTAACTCCTACAGCTCACACAAAAGGACACTTGACAAAGTCACTTTGCTAACTACCTCAGGAATTCTCTTTTTTAATATGAAAACTCAAGCCCACTCATTCAAGTATCAAAGACAGATATTTAAAGCTTAAAAAAACAATAACCACGATCCCAGCATTTTCCAGAAAATGCTATAAAGGAAGAAAAAAATTTCCTGGAAGTTCCTCATGCCACTAATTTGCAGATGCTCTCTTTCACATGCAATTTTGGTATTTCGTTTTCCCAGGAGGTGAGGCAGGGCAAGGGTCAATCTGCCAAAGGTTTGCTGAATGGTCTGAATGATGTTTTTGTGTAGTAGAAGCAATATCCCAGGTCAATCCCATTGGTGTCCCTGACCTAAGAAAATTGTTATCTCTGGTATTGTCATAACTTTCATTGGTTATGATGTCCTGAGGATCTCTATGATGAATGAAGTAGAAGATACATAAAAGAAATTCCTTTCAATACAAAGTGCTCAAACTGTGATTCCAAAAGACCACAAAGCACAAGTTGCAAGAAGCCCCAGGTCAGTAGATCGTGCACTTTTATTGAGGTTTGAGGCTAGAACATGAAAGTCTTGCACTAGCTAGAAAAAGGTAAATCAAATAATTGGAGGAGTTTTCAGAGGCTGCTTTATAAGCAAATAAAGAGTCAACAGCTCTTTATTCTATGTGCTAAAACCACTGGTGTTTGGTATTTTCTTTTTTGTCCAAATTAAAATAAAAGGCAATTAAGGCAACTGAAGATACACTACGGTATTCAATTTTTTTTTTGGTCATAGTTCTACTTACTGAAGTAAGAATTAATCTTTATTACTGCTTAACTCATTCATTTATTCGACAAACACCTCATAAGCACTCACTCTACAGCATTATTAATAGACTATCCACGTACTAGGCACTGGGCTAAGAATTTTAGGTACATTATCTTATTTAACCCTCACAGCAATGTTATGAAGCCTTACTGTTATTTCCATATTAAAGATCAGGAAATGAGTCACAGAAAGACTGAATAACTTTCCCAATATTATAAGAGAGTAAGTAGGGGAATAGACAATAAGTTCAGAGCTGGCTCAATCCTGGGTGCACATCAGACCTACTAAATCGAAATCATGGGGTCAGGCGCCAGGCAAGTCTAATTCACTGCACCACCAGCATGTGGAAATGTGAGGGGACACCGGGGGCGTGCGCCGGGTACTGGGGATGGAATGATTCACGGAGCTCAGAGGCCCGCTGAGTGGGTGTGGGGGTGGGAGGTTTGGGTGGAAATGAAAACCAAGTAAACAGTCACAATACAACGCTCACCCCCATCTCTTTCCATTCCTGACTGCTCACTTTTCAGATCTCAAGTCAAAGGTCAGCTTCGCAGAACTGGTCAGCCTATCATTTATTACTGCTATTGGAAATGTTATTTATTTATTTGTTCATTTATTTACCTTTTTGTGACCCTCCTCCCCTATTAGAACGACAGCTCCTATTCACTACTGTATTTCCAGCATCTAGCATGTGCCTGGTACAGAGATGGTTCTTAAAAATATTAGCTGAACAAATCAGTCACTTTCAAATGTTTAAGTCAATTATAGAGAAATTCCAGGGGGCCTGGGAGCCTCTCACTCTTCAGGGGAGGAAAGACATCACGGGAGGCCTCATGGAAGAGCTAAGCCAGGTCTTGAGGGATGAGTGGGGTTCTCCAGAAAAACAAAGGAGTGAGGGCAAGTATACAGGGCTAAGGAAAAACATGTGTGAGGGTAGAGAGATGCGAAAGAACAAGGGAGCTGCACGCCTTTCTGTGTGCCTGAGACAAAAACAAGTACAAGGTAGAGGCAAAATTTATTCCGGAAATATTTATTCACGATTAGTAGCACTGGGGTAGCCATAAGAGATATGAAGGGTAGCAAAAATAAGAAGAGTCCTTGATGTCATGTTTATATTCTAATAAATGAAATAGATGTGAAACAAATAAACACAAAGCGTACACAATTCTAAATTGTAGCAAGAGCTGTGAAGGTAATGGACTGATCACTGTAAGAATAACATTTAGGTGTGGGGGGGATTACTGAGGAAAGTGCTTCTGATGAAGTTTTTTTTTAAAAAAATGAAGACTTTTTAACTTGATTTTTAGAGAGTGAGGGAGGGAGAGAGAGAAACATCGATGTGAGACCAAGATATCATCATCGGCTACCTCTTGCATGCCCCCAACAACTCAGGCATAACCCTGACCAGGATTCAAACCAGCAACCTCTCAGTGCACAGGATGATGCCCGACCAACAGAGCCACACCAGCCAGGGCAAGATGAAGTTATTTTTAAATCCCTTCAATAGCCCTGCAAAAACAATACCCATTTTAGAGGTTAAAACACTGAGGTTAAATACTTCACTAAGGCTCCAGTCCTAATAAGTAGCAGAGCCAGGATGCAAACTGAGATAGTTTCATTCCAAAGCCAACACTCGTTCCAACAGCAGCAGCATCACCAAGGTGGGGGCGGAGGCTCCGTGTGTTCAGGATGTATTTCCCTTTACCACAATTCTGCAGTCAAACATTACAGCTTACAGGCAGCCAAGGATTTACCCTGTGACTGTAAGATTCCAACAGAATCTTTGAATTTTAAAATACATACTGAGTAATTTACCTCTCTGTGACTATATCCTATCTTCGGATATATTTTTCATTGTTGTTCGTGAGCCAGCTAGCTGTGAAACGTGTAGTGTGGTTTCAAACTCACTTGTAGCCTCACAATGTAGTAGATGTCTGACCTCAGGATGACATTTAGCATTTCTGAGCCTCAGCTTCCTCGCCTGGACAATGGGGATGTTGACTCCATGCCCGTCTGCTTCATAGGTTCAAGTGAGATGATACATGTAAGGGACCTGGCACTGCGTAAATGTGATGATTTATTTGATATTGCCCCAAAGCGTTCTACAGTAGCGCAGTTGACATAAAATGAAAAGACTTGAGAGAGTTTTGAAAAATAAAATGCTCTGGGCAAATGAGAGCATTATATAAGTACTTGGTCATTATGTCACGGCCACGGGTCTTGAACTGCCTGCTCTCAGTCGGCGTTCACCGAACCTGCAGGCTGCACCTGCGACGAGAGGGCTGTGAATGCAGGTATGATCGCTGTCTTCATTAGGCGCTGCCGACACATTACAGTGATATTTATTGAACCCTGAAAAGGGATAAATTATGCAAGACTAATTTCTAATCCCCATGCAATTTTAATGTCCTTTTTTTATGTGCTAAGTGCAACTAATAAAGTTAAATTTTAAAAAGTTACACAAATTAAAAGCTGTAATTCAGTAACTTATATGATGACCAAGGAAGGTATAGATGAACCCACTAGAAGGCATTTCCACAGGCACACAGAGTGACTGAAAGACTAAGAAATTCCATTTCTAGGAATCTACCCTAAAAATATACTTCTAATCATACAAAATTACATATATGCGAGTTTGTTCGTGGGAGCATTGATTGTAGTTGCAGAATAATGGAAACGGCCTTAATGCCCAAACATAGGAGAGTGGTTAAATACACTATGCTACACCCTCACAATGGAACACTATGTAGCTGGAAAAAATAAATAAATCGGGGAAGATCACTGGAACTTCAGAATCATTCAGTGAAGAAAGCAAAGTGCAAAAGAACTGATAATGGGGTGCTACCATCATACAAAAGGGAATACAGTAAAAACATATAAATCTGCTCATTTGTGAAAAAGGAAAACGGAAAAGATAAACCAGAAAATATAGAGGCTATTTAACTATAGAGGGTTGGTAGAAAGAGAGAGGAAAGAAGGGGGCACAAAATGTGGGGGTGGGGGGTGAGGAGGGACAGGCATTTCTTGATCTCTTTGGCTATAGCCTTGGCTCTCTGAACCATAGTAGTAATGCTTTGCATACCTCCCTAAA